GCATACAACATAGCACGGAGATGCATACAACATAGCATGGACATGCAAACAACATAGCATGGAGATGCATACAACATAGCACGGAGATGCATACAACATAGCATGGAGATGCATACAACATAGCACGGAGATGCATACAACATAGCATGGACATGCAAACAACATAGCATGGAGATGCATACAACATAGCACGGAGATGCATACAACATAGCATGGACATGCATACAACATAGCACAGAGATGCATACAACATAGCATGGAGATGCATACAACATAGCACGGAGATGCATACAACATAGCACGGAGATGCATACAACATAGCATGGACATGCATACAACATAGCATGGACATGCATACAACATAGCACGGAGATGCATACAACATAGCATGGAGATGCATACAATATAGCATGGAGATGCAGGATGGAAGGCTGAATCACAGCCAGAACAGAATGGAGTGCAACTGTGCTCCACCCACAATTGCATGCCATTGAAAACATAAGAATTGTCTCTTTCCGCAATATATCATTTAGTATTTTGGGGACCATGGCTAATTGGAGGCACTGAGATTGTGGAAAAACAAGCAGTCATTGGCGGGGGCGGTCATTATTGTGGAAAGCTGTTTTGTGCTCTTGTCAATTTGAATGTATAAGCCCTGTAGACACAACTACCTTGTCATTCTCTGGTGTGAGTCTGTGCCTGGGCAGGTCCATGCACACGGCTGGTACACAGCGACTGCACTAAGAGTGCTGGGGTCACTCTTCAGCATTATAGTTAAAGGTACTAGTTATGAAGACAGATCTGGATGCCCAGCCTGGAATAGCTTTGTGATCCAAAGCTGGTCAGTCTGTTGTTGCCATGACCACCACCGATACCTTTACCACCACTGCCACCACCATTGCTACTAATATCACCACTGCCACTGTCACCACTGCCGCTGCCTCGTATGCCTACTACATTGTCCTAAAAGGACTGATGTGTTTTGGACCAGGATACTGGGGATTGGTAAGCTCTGTTCTTCCTGCTCAGAAGACATGGCCTGATTACTGGGCAGGTTGCTGTAACTGTGAGAGGTGGTAGTGGTAACACTCCTATACCACAGCAGACCCTGGAGGTAAAGGCATCAGGAAAGTGGTGATTTTCTTTGGGAGAATGAGCCCCATGTGCATCACTTGTGGCTCTGCAGATGTGATGCTTGTTGCCATAGCGACTGTCCTAACAATAACCTTCCAGAACCGATATTCCCCACAACCACCCCAGCTGCCACCTGGGAGGGAGAACCCTCCTTGCTTACAAAAGTGAGCCCAAAAGGACAAAGTGGGAGGTGGAGATGACATGGGGTGGGGGGTGGAGGTGGGGGTGGGGCTGGAAGGCAGGGGAAGAGGTTGGATGAAGGAGGAGTCTGCGCCTCTGATCCAGAGCTGAAGCCGGATGAGAAGGCTTCTGGGGTTCAAAAGGAGAAAAAGTCACAGCTGGAAACCTTTCTCCCTCCCAACCTAATCATTCTGCTAGGGAGGAAAACGCTGGGTCTGAAGGGAGAGTGTGGGCTGTGCTGTCTGGGCAAGGATAGCCTGCGGCAGCTCGCCTCCTCCCCATTGTCTAATGCGGGATCCTCTGTCTTTCCTGACCCAGCCAGGTGACTCCTAGTGTGGCCTCGAATGCTTCTGTTTGGAGGAGGGGCTTCAGGAATGTCCAGGTGCTCACAGGAATAGAGTAGGGGGAGAGGCTGAGGACACAGTGGGCTTCAAACTGCACTCTTTACTGACTGCAACGCTGTGTGTAGCACAGCCTACCCAGTTTTGAAAGGTGACTTAAAAGAGACTACCCTGAGTGTCACCGTGTCCTCACCTGGTGTGTGCGTTTTTGTGCTTTTGTGTATATGTATATTGTGTGTATGTGTGCTTATGTGCTTGTTTTTGTATATGCATGTTTGTGTATGTGTGTTCATGTACTTGTTTTTTCCTGAGACAGGGTTTCTCTGTGTAGCCCTGGCTGTCCTGGAACTCTCTCTGTAGACCAGGCTGGCCTTGAACTCAGAGATCATCTGCTTCTGCTTCCCCAGTGCAGGAATTAAAGGTGTGAACCACCAACTACAGTTCTGTGTATATCTTTGTTTGTTTCTGTGAAAATAAAAGGCAGAGTGGGGGGGGGGGGCTTTATGGACAGTCCCAGCCACTCCTCTTTTTTGTGAATTTATTTTTATTTTATGAATGTGTGCATATGTATGTGCTCATGTGCACACATAAGTGTGTGTAGACCAAAGGTCAATGTCCGTTTTCCTTGGTCACTTTCCAACTCTAATTTTTATTTGAAACAGCGTTTCTCACTGAAACTGGAGCTTGCCAATTTAGGTAACCAGGCTGGCCAGTAAGCAAGCCCCAGGGATCTGCTCTCTGTCCCTAGTGCTGGAATCACAGGCCTGTGCTTTTTCACATCGGTTCTGCGGATCGAACTTGGGTCCTCCCACTTGCACAGCAAGCCTTCCCTCGAGCTCCCACACTCCCAGCACACCTTGATTGCTTGGCGAGCTACTTCTGCTGTCTCTGTGTTGACCTGTCTAGGGTGGGAGTAGGGACTGGGGTAACAGTCAAGATCAGCTATCATCAGGATTCAGACACCACCTAGATCGTCTTTCCCAGGGTGATGGTGGAAGGGTGTGTGACTTGGTAGCCTAAAGACAGCCTGACTCCTGGAGGGGTGCAATTGTGTTTTGTTTTGCTAATTGTGTTCTGTTGTTCAACCTTGCCTCCTTCTCCCACCAGAGCTCAGAAGGAGCCAAAGCAGCTGCTCTCAGCCCCACTACAGGGTGCTATATCATCCCCCCAAGAGCAAGCTTCAGCCTGGCTTCACCCTCTCCCCACCCTTCCCCGGGACTGTTGCATGGCCCAGTGTCCCCCACGTCTAAACTCATACATTTCTGGGGGGAGGGAGGGAGCACAGTAGAGTTTCCCTTTCTGCTTGGGGCCAGGGTTCCTATTTTCTGAGCTAGACCCTTCTAACTGGGACCTGCACTTGCTTGTACACACCTCCTGTTTGCTAGCTGTCTTCTGGTGGAGGCTAGATCTGTACACCTGTCACAGAGACTTGCTAGGAGGCCTAGTTTCACTTGGCAGCACTCTGTCAAATCTACTTTTATGAAGACCCCTAGTAGCTGCCCAGCAAAGACCCCTCATTCTTCTAAGAAGATACTTGCTAGAATGTCCAGGACTAGTATTTGTTTGAGATCTGAGTCTACCAAATCTGCTCTTGGGGATCAGTTAGTGGAAGGAATCTAGAAAATCACCAAACAATATCACTCATGCTGGTGCAAAGTCCCTCCCAACTGCCCAGAGGGCCCCAAACACCGAGAGTCAAATCGGGATGCTGGTTGGAGGTTTTGAAGGGGGAGCTTTGTGGAAATTCACCTGTGCCCTCTTTTCCTTCAGGGCCACTTTCAAGAGAGACTGGAGAGAGGGAAACAGAACAGAGGCTCCTCTTCCTGGCCAGGGCAGGGGCAAAGGGCTGCCCAGGCTATCTGAGCAGGATGACTGTCAGCTCTCAGAACAGGAGTCCCTGACAGAGCTGAGCAGCACCCCTATTTTGCTACCTCAAGACCCAAACTGGACACGGCGGAATGTTCACCCCAGGACAGAAGGCCCCCTAGTTACCAGTCCTAGGAGAAGCAGGGAAGAGGACCACCGCCCCATCCTTTCCCTCTCATCACAGTCAGCCTAGGAGACTCGTGGGTAGCCAGGCTTGGTGGGAAGGGTCTGGTAGCATCTTATGGGGGCTACGGGGAATGGAGGAGCCCAGTCGAGGGCAACACACGACCCCTCCCAAGTGGGGTTCAGTTCCCTCCTGCTGTCTAGGGGAGGTGGGTCTTTACGGGAGAAGAGTCTGGGTTCACTGTTCAACTGCAGCAGTGGAAGAGCCAGCCCAGTGGCTTGTCCGTGCAGGGCGCGGGCCTAGAGGGTCAGACGCAGTACGTGGGCACCGTGTGGTGCAGCCCATGTGCTGGGACAGAGCGCGGGCACGGGTGGGATTGCATGGTGCGGGCGCAGTGCGGGTGCCGGCGCGGGCGCGACGTGTGTGCGAGGGGAGTTGCGGTGCGGGTGCAGTGCGCGTGCAGGCGCGGGCGCTAGTGCAGGTACAAGGCGCGGGTGCGGTGTGTGTGCGGATGCAGGCGTGTGTAGGGTGCGAGTGAGGCGCGTGCAAGGGGCAGCGGGCGGGGCGGGCGCGGCGGCGACAGTGGCGCCCGCGCCTCTGCGCGCGTAGGTGTGCGGCGCGCTCCTGGCGGGGACAGAGCGAGCAGATCTCGCGTGCGCTCGCCGCCCGGCGCAGCCCAGCCCGGCCCCCGCCCGGCGCCGCGAGCCGAGGTGTCTCCCGCGCCCGCGCCCGTGTCGCCGCCGTGCCCGCGAGCGGGAGCCGGAGACGCCGCCGCCCGAGCGCAGCCGAGCGCACGCCGAGCCCGATCGCCACCGCCATGGCCACCACGGTGACCTGCACCCGTTTCACCGACGAGTACCAGCTATACGAGGATATTGGCAAGTAAGAGCCTCGGCGCGCGCGGGCTGTCCGCAGACCCCGGGGAGCGGGGACCCCATCGCCGCCCGCCTCGCGCGCACTGCGGCCCCGCGCGCCCCCGGCTCCTTCCAGCTGCGGGCCCAAGCGCACTGCCCCGTGCAGCCCCGACCCCCGAGCCTCGGGTTCTGGGTCCCGCTGCCTCGCTACAGCGCTTAGGGCCCTGCCGGGTGCCATAGCTTGGCGAGGACCGAGACTCAGGGATATGGACTCGGCGCGGCGGGGGCGGCAGCAGGTGTCCCCCGAGCGCCGGGCAGACGTGACGCATTTGGCGGCAGGGAGGTCAGAGAGGAGCGGCACGCGGGGGCGGCTGCCAGGCCTAAAGTGCCCGAGGGGTCGGTCATGGCCCCAGGGGTCGTCTCCGGTTTGGTCACGCTGTCCTCACCCCCACCCGAGAGGCGGGCGGCAGCGGTGGCGGACCCGCTCCGCGCCTGCTCCTCGCGTGGCCCCATCTGCTCTGGGGGAGCAGCGTGGGAGCAGCTTCTGCCTTGGGTCCCTTGGGGAATCTGGGTTCTAGAGGATTTTCCCCCAGATTCTTCTGGAAACAAGAATTTGGAGGGGGTGGACGAGGTCAGGGAGCCAAGATCAGGCCGTGGGGTGGGGGTGGGGGTGAGAGAGTGTGGCAGGGAACCAGTTGGGCCTCTGATTTCAGGGTCATCGAGGCAGACAGAGACTGGCTTCTGAACCTTTTTTTTCCTCCTGTGGTGGGAGGGCTGAGGGGAGGGACTCTAAAGGCGTATTTCTAGTAGGGCCTCGTGGGGAACAGGTGCCCCGGCGCCAAGACGCTGCTCCGCAGCACAAGCAATATGGGGGTGAAGCTATGGTTTAGAACGTCCAGACCTGGCTTTGTCCTAGGGCCTCAGAAACAACGGCGCCTCCTCAGGGGCCTGGGGCTTGCCTCTGTGATTTAAGGTGACTGCAGGGGCATCCTTAGGTGCTGGCTGTATAACTCCAGAGCTGGATCCTCCTTCCCACTCCCTCTCCCCTCCCCCATCCGTCTTGTGCGATGGGGGCGCTGGCGAGATTTCCTCTTACACATCCAGCCGCAAATCTTTTTTTTTTCCTCTCTACTGAAAAAGCGTCTGAAAGCTTGTGGTGGGCGAGGGACGCTGATCATTGATAATTGTGGAGTGCCCAGCTGGAGGAGTGTGGGGGTGTGTGCATTCCCCACTTCTTCCTGCACGTGCCAAGAGGATTTGGGTCAGGTCTTGGGGGGCGGGAGTGAGGAGCCAAGCGGAGTGATAGGAGGAAGCCTATGCTGGATGGGAAGGAACAAGGCTGGGTGGACCTGGACAGCCATCCCAGCCTGGAGAGCCCAGCACCCTTTCAGCGCTGTGTCTCGTGCTTGCAGTCACTGAAGAACCTTCCAGTAGCCTGTGGGGCTGTGCTCTGTAAGGAAGAGGTGATGGCCGGGGAGTCCTCAGGTGGAGTGAAGGCAGCCTCGAGGTTATGGGGACCAGCCCTGCAGCTCTCAGATCCGCTGATGCCTTGAAGAAGAGCTCTTCTGAGCCAGGCGGTCTCCTCCACAACTGTGTGCTGCCGGGGCAGGTGGCAGCAGTGGCAAGCCTCTCCTTCCTAGGGAACCTTCTTGTCACCTCCTCCTGCCTGCCCAGGAGCTTGTACCTCAACCCTGGGCCTCTTGGTTTCTTCTAAGCCTTCCATATCAGGAGGCCATGACCTACAGATCACCTAGGTGGTTGGCTTCCCGCCTTGGTGGGAGCTGTCCTGTATTGAGCGGTAGCATAAGGTGGCCAATGGCACACCCGCTGTGGAGCGGAGGCTGGAGGGTGACATTTGCAATAGACACCAGTGAGGACTGCCACTACCAGCTCCTCCCTAGGTACAAAAGAATGAGCCCTCACCCAAGCGTGTGAAAGTTCCACAGGTGCCAGGGTGAGACCCCTAAGCCTGGTGTGGCCGGGCCACTCTGGCCAGAAGCAGTCAGCTCAGCCCAGCGTATCTTTGTACAGTCTGCTAGGTACCAGGCCCCAGGGATGGGCAAGGAGGGATGAAGGAGATGGCACCCTCAAGATCAGCTATGGGAACTCACCCCCACCCCACCCTCCCTCTGTAGCCATGTTGGCTAGTTGTTGCCAGTGCCTGCCTGCCGCACAGTTGGTGCTGCTTCAGAGCTCCAGGTAGACACATTCAAGTTTATTTAAAGCTGTAGCCCCTGGCATCCGGTCAGGAGATGCTAAGTCCCCTGCTTGGCCGAAGGGCGGCTCCCAGCCCCACAGCTGCTCTTGGTTCTCTGGTGGCAGCTCTGGACTTTCCCCCTCAGGCCTGGGCAGCAGATAGGGTGTCTGAGGAGAATGGCTTCCCCCAACCACGAGGCACCTCACTGTGTGTCTTTCCAGCTAGTTCTTGCCTGGTGGTTCATATGCTGGGTTGACACACCATGAACCCAGGGCCCCAGGAGAAAGCATAGTGCAAAGTGGGGTGCCCTCAGTCCACATGGACCAGCCTTAGTGTGGGTTAAATGATTTCCTATTGGATGTGTTTGAAAAACTCAGAGACCCCAGGAACAACAACCATTGGTGTCTCTTCTACCCAGAACTAAAAAGTATTTATCATCTTGTCTTTCAGTCCTGTCTTAAAATTATAGCAAGTAATGTATTACAAATAAACATTAAAGAGCCTATTCACTTCTGTCTTTCTGTTGCATTTGCGCAGATACAAGGATCCCCATCAAGATGAGGATCCTTCCCGGTTTTCTTATAACTTTGTAAAAATCCAGAACTTGTGTTCTCAGTCAGGCTAGTCCTGCTGACATACGTGGTGCTGACAGGCAGTGGTCGTGGCTGCCACATGGTGATCATGCTATGAGCACCACGTATCCACTTTGCTCCTCATGGAAGTCTAGGCTGCCTCCTAGTCTCTCTTGTCACATGACCAACGCTGTGCGCATGTTCGCTGGCACATGGGTGAGTGTTGCTTTGGTGTTTGTCCCTGGTGGTAGGGTTTACACCTGGAGACGCTTTACAGTATCCTGCGTTCCCACTTCCCTTGGCCATGAGCCCGACATACTGGCCCTGCCTTTGGCAGGCACAAAATAATAATTCGTACAAAATGATTGCATGTAAACTTTTCACTTTTAGAGAGTGGTTGTCTTATTAAAATATAGGTGGTCTCCTTGGAGACTTCTGTAAGTTTTGTGTATGATCGGGGTTCATGGATACTCTTACTTTGGGGGAAAAAGCCAGGGAGCCTTGGCCTACAGCTTAGTTTCTGTTTGATGGTATTTTTATAGCAGTGCCTATGGTTACTCACTACCTTGAGCTGTGGAGATCACCTTTGACCTTCAGCCCAGAAAGTTCCCACCATCCTTCATCCCACTCCCATGGGCCTAGAACTGACCTTAATGTGTCCTTGACTCCATCTCCCATCCAGAGCAGGCTGGGATGTACAGGTGCTGCCCACCCTCCAGGATTGGTGCCATCAGCTGTTGTTGATTCTTCTGATTGGCCTACTCTGAACTGGTGGGTAGCGATAAACTTAGGACATTCAAAGCCGGCTAGTTTGGGACTTGGCCTTGTCCTGGGACTGGGTGCAAGAACTCTTGTTCTTGCTGCCTGTTTGCTTTCTCTTTCCTGCCCTGGAGGACCCCAGGCACTATCTGCCTCAGGGCCTCTGCTAGGGCGGCCCCTCCCCCATCTGCTTGTCCCCACCCCCATCCTCCTTCTCCACCTACGCTGTTCTGCATTGTCTTGTTCTCCACGGGACTGGACCACTCACCAGAAAGCAGGAGCTGGGACCCCTGCCTGGGGGCCCGAGTCTCACAGCTCCAGCCAGAGTGGGTTTCACATCACCTGAGGGGAAGGGGTAATTGGACCTCTAGCTTTTGCCTCGTGGCTTGCTCTCCAGAATGAGACCTGGTCTTGATTCTCTAATATAGGGTAATTTAAAAAGAATTGCACATGCTGGCTTTGCTGGCAAGATGTGCATTAAGGTGACGCTAGTTTAGTTACTATTTAATGGTATTTTTATACCATAACCTACTTTGCTGGGAGCTAAGAATACATCTGCATGTCTGCTGCCGGACTCTGTTCTGGTGACAGTTGCTAACACTTCCGTGGTACCTATTCTATTAGCTGGATCTGTGGAGCAGGTCCTGTGGTCATGGCTAGTTTACTGGGAGATGCTTGAGGGGCACAGAGAAGCTCCATCTATTAGTAAAGGTCTGTGTTCCCATCAAGGAGTTTGTCCTGGAATCCAGTCCTGCTTGTTGGAGCAGATGAAGCTGCTCCGTTCCGGGATTTAGAGGACTTTACAAAAGCTGGAGGACTCTTGGCTACCTTGTGTTTTCCTCAGACCCCCAGGCTCCTCAGGACATGCCTGTCCTTCAGTCAGTGGTTTGTCACACCATCTTTGTACATTTCCAAACCCAGGGCCGTGTCCACATTCCCTCTGTGGAAATGTCACTTCGTCTTATCACCTCTCCCTGACAACCAACACTCTGACCCCATTTGAGACCAGCAAGACTTAACATTTTATTTTATTCATTAAACAAACTAGGGTAATACAGTCTTGTTAATAAAAAAAATCAAGTAATACAGAAGTATATGCAGTTAAATGGGGTCCTTTGCTTCTCCCACTCCCCGCCTAGGAAGCATGCCTGTCAGTGTAAGGTATGTGTGCATGTTCAGCTGTAGTACATACACATCTATATCGTGTGTGTGGTTTGAAAACAGGCAAGCTCACCATGTATGTGGCTCTATCATTTGTTTACCTGACACTTCTACGAAACAGCCCCTCATGTCAAAAAGTCGACCCCCATGTTCATTTGTGTGCAGGAGCACATGGGGGCCAAAGTTAAGAGTCTTCCTCAGTCATTCTCTACTGGGACTAGACTATTGGGCCTGTAAGTCTCAGAGACTCTTGTCCATCCTGGGTGCCTGCATACTTGTATGGCAAGCCCTTTCCTGATGGAGCCATCCCCTGAGCCCCTCATGTTAGAAAGCCTTTCT